CACACATACATACACCTGACGTGAATTTCAAGATACCAGTTCCAGGACTTGAACCACGATTGACCATGTGGTAGTCCAGCTATGTGACCAAATTACGCCATGTGCTGGTTCCCTGAAGTATGGTTTTTTTGAAGTTAAGCAGCCACTCACCTTTTGGCTGGCATGAATAATAACAGATCATCCATGGGACAGACTTTAAATCACTAGAAAGCCCTTTCCAAACAGTTGGCCAAGATGAGGCCATGTCTGTGGAGTAGTTTCTAGTAGATGCGATGGCCTGCCCAGGTAGGGGAAGTCTCCCTTGGCCCCTTGAGTAGGGCAACCCAACCAGCTGAGCTAGACTGCAGTCTAGTCTTGAGCAAAGCATTCTGGGGAGAAAGAGCCCAGCCTTCCTTGCAGAGGGCAAGGGGTCTCAGCCCCTGACTTCCTCACAGAAGACACAGGGTCTCCAGCCCCTAGGCAGAACTTTTTCTCTCTTCGTTGTGGACTGCAGTAACTGTGTTGTTTGGACCCAGAAAGGGCTCTACTTCTGTTGGTTCCTTGTTTTGCCTGAGAATTTACCTGGTGTATTTTATGACAATATTTTGCTTATAATATACTGTAAGAAAATCAAACTTTGAAAATCTTGTCGCTTACATTCCTGTCTCTTCAACTGTGAGTAGAAAATATAATTTAAACCCTTCTTAATGACTCATGCTATTCAGACATACTTCCATTTTAAAGAGAGAGGATTTCTGGTAAATAACCGTCCCTACTTAAAACAGTGTAAATAATTGTTGTGATAGGTATTGTAATTGTTTATATATGCACCAAGTTTTAAGATGGTGGTGACTTTGATGTCTTGTAGGGGTATACAGGGGTGTTTTTTTGTCTATTGAGAGTAGTCGATAGATTGCTTTGCTTTTGGTTTCTGTATCATGAAAGATTGACCAGGTTTTTGTTTTGTTTTGTTAGTATATACACTTTGAAACATGGTTTTTGGCTGCTTAGAGGCTTTTGATAAAAAAAAAAAAAAAAAAGTATGCTCCCAGGTACTGAAATGCATTTTAGACGGTTCAGTGTCACTGCAATGTGATTGTTGAATAGTTCCACTTTTTTCTTTTTTTTCCCAATTCAAGCCTTTATCTCCCATGAAATGTAAGGCATATTCCTCAGCTTTCACTTTTCAATTCTTTGACATTTTTCCCTCAGTGTCTGGAAGATCATTAAATTACATTTTGGCCCTGGGTGTTTGTGTGAGGATCGCTCCAACAGCTCTTGTGTGATTCTCCTCTCCTTTGTCATTTCCCACTCTGCAGTCCGACCCTGACCTCCCAGCAGATGTGCAGACACCGTCCTCGGCTGAGCTGGGGAGGTATCCAGTCCTGCCCTTCCCATCCTCCCAGTACATCCCGCCCCAGCCGTCCATCGAGGAGGCACGCCAGACCATGCACTCCCTCCTGGACGACGCCTTTGCCCTCGTGGCGCCCAGCAGCCAGCCCTCTGACACCACGGGTGCGGGCCCTGGGGTCCCAGGTGGCCTGCCTGTGAACAGCACCCTTT